TTCTGTAAGCCTTCACCTGAAGTACAATAAAATATTAAAAAAAAAAAAAGAAAGGAGTCCCTGGGTGGCGCAAATGTTTAAGTGCTCAACTACTAGCCAGAAGGTTGGCGGTTCGAGCCCACCCAGATGTGCATCAGAAGACAGGCCTGGCGATCTGTTTCCAAAAGGTCACAGTCTTGAAAACTCTATGTAGCAGTTCTACTCTGTACACATGGGGTCACCATGAGTCAGAATCAACTCCATAGCAACTAACAGCACACTATAGAAAAGAGCAAAATGTTACAAGCTATACTTACATACTGAGGCAAAACAAAACTCTGTAGCACAAGACTTTTAGCTGTACAAGGGAACGGTGAGCACACTCAGGTGGGTTCGGTACATGCAGGTGTGCTGCCTGGCCTGTGTGCTCTGAGCTGAGCTGCTGGAGGATGCATGCACCGGGTGGTGGGGGTGGTGGTTGTGTGCTGTTGAGTCAGAATCCACTCCTGGCGACCCCATAAGACAGAGCAGGACTGCCCACAGGGTTTCCGAGGCTGTAGTTTTCACAGGAGCTAATCACCTGGTCTTTTCTTTCGTGGAGCTGCTGGTGGGTTTGAACTGCTGACCTTTCGTTTAGCAGCCAGCCCTTCGGTTAGCAGCTGCGTGCTTAACCAGTGTGTCACCAGGGCTCCTTGCATTGGTGGGCATGGGATTGACTGGGGAGCAGTCAGGATAGTGCAGAGGCCAGTGGCAGAGTCCTGGATCCAGAGGAAAACGTGGAGTGGATCTCAGTGTCAAATCCAGCATTTCCACCAAGGGGACTACCTTGGTTCTAAGTGAGGATTTGTCTGTAAGTCGCTCGGACTTGGTGAGTATTTCATTTGGGGTGGTTTGTGGGAACTGATGGAGATAACTGTCGTGGGGGAGCTAAAAGCCCTCCCTGGTTCCCCTGGCACCGACCCCAGCTGTCCTCTGCATACCTGCCCAGGAAAGGTGCTCTCAGGTGTTGCCGGCATCTCCTTCCACGTGCGATATTTTCCGAAGTGAGAAAGGAGAGGTGCTGTTCGCTCGTCTCTGTTGTGAGTTGTTGGATCCCAAGAAATCCTCCCACCCCATGTGTTAAGCTGCTCTTTTTCCTTTTCCACCAGGCGGTCAAAGAAACAGCAATATCCAGAACAGTGTTGTTTGGGACCTCAGCCTGTGTCCCAGAAGTCTTAGCATACTTTTTCAAAAGGTAAGAGGTCTGCTCATCACCCCAGGTAGGAGTCAACATGTGACAGTCCAAATCCATATAAAAAGTGTTAACTACTGAAGCTGGTGGGAGGGATGGGAAGCAGTGGCTTCGGTATTCTTCCTACTGAACATTCTTCATCACAGTTAGGACAGTGAAGCTGTGTTTGGCATGGCATGAAAATCCAGATGTGTGCATTCCAGCAAACCTGGACTCTGGCCCAGGCTCTGCCGTCGGTCACTGTCCTTGGGCACGTCCAAGAGCCTGTGGAGGCACATTTCCTCACTTCTGGAATGATGAGTTTGGATGATCTGCAGGTTCTTCCAGCTCTGATGTGCTCTGAATATTGCTCAAGCCCCTGACCCCAATTCTAACCATGTTTTAAATTAGCTTAAGTACTCTGAGAATATACTAAAATCCACCGAATTGTACACTTGAAGAAAAATTCACTTATGTGGCCCCAGATTCAAGAGACTGTCACCCATTTTGAGAAGCCAGAAGGGCCTGTTAGGAGGAGGGCCTGGGGATCAGTGAGTGTTCTGGGGTTGGAGTATCAGAAGCCTGACTAGAAGTAGCTGGGCCAGCAGGGAGATGTATTGGTCTAGGTGACAGATGCGGGAAGGGAGCGTAGCCTGTAGCAGCTTGAACAGGAACTTCTGTGCTAGGACACTCCTCCCTTCCTTTCCTTCCTGGGTGTCTGCTGTCTTCTCTCTTGCTACACGTGGGCTGCTTCACATTGACAAAGGACATGGCTGCTGGAAGCTCTCAGCTCATACTCTCACAGCTTCCTGATCAGAGATTAAAAAAAAAAACCTCAACGTACCTGGGGGTGAGGGGGGCATGTCTTCCACTCAGTTCGGAAACTCCCAGGGAAGGATTCTGATCGGCCCAAGTTGGGTCACATGCCCATGGTGGGCTAACCCACTCCAGCCCCACCAGAACCACATATGGAGCACATTTTCAGGAAGTAGGGGCGGTGTCCTGGGCAGAGCCAACTGTAACTCCCCATGCCTGGCCCAGCCGGGTGAGTGCAGCCTCTTCTAGGTTGGGGTCTTCTGGTCACTCTGGCTGGCCTTGGAGCTGGAGCTCCTGTGGAAGTTGGGGCCCTCTGGTCCACCCCACAGTGCCTACATGAATGGCACAGGCTGCCTAGTGGGAAGCGGTGGTCCTGCTCTCCCGGTGGCTTTGGGGTGCCAGAAGGACCGTGTGCCATGGGGTGACCTGGGGCGGATCTTGTACCTCACCCCTCATTTTGCAGCTGGAAAAAACCAAAGCTCAGAAGGGGAAAGCAGCTTGCCTGAGGGCACATACTGTGTCCATGGCCTCAGGTCTCTGGCTCCTGGGCCAGGACACCACACTGTCTCTTACAACTCCAAAGGGTCCGGGTGCCCAGGCTGGGAGCACAGGCCCTAGGATCTCTGGCCCAGCATGTTGGAGCTGTGGGATTTTAGACAAGTTACTTCATAAGTCGTTGCCTCTTTCCTCGTTTGGAAGGGGATGAGGGGGACATTGGTTCAATGGTAGAATTGTCGCCTTCCCTGCAGGAGACCTGGGTTTGATTCCCAGCTAAGGCACCTCATGTGCAGCCACCACCTGTCTGTCCACAGACGTTTGTGTGTTGCTATGATTGTGAACGGGTTTCAGCGGAGCTTCCAGACCAAGATGGACTAGGAAAAAGTCCAAGCTCTGCTTCTGAAACTCAGCCGATATAAACACTATGGATCTCAGTGGTCCCATCCACAACCCATCATCGGGATGGCACGGGATCAGGCAGCATTTTGTGCTTTTGTGCACGGGGTTGCCACGAGTTGTGCCAACTCCCGAGCACTGAGGGGAGATAACACACACCTCGGGGCTGTGGGGATCGAGTGAGAACCCGCATGTAAAGTGCTTAGCACCGTGCCTGAGGTGTTGGAAGCCTGCGCAGTCAGTGTGGCCATTTTCATTGCCTATTTGGGGGTTGGTGGGAGCCAAGGAAGGAGCTCCGGTGGTGCAATGGTTAAAGCGCTCTGTTTTTAACTGAAAAGTCGGTAGTTCGAACCACCAGCCACTCCATGGGAGAAAGACATGGCAGTCTGCTTCTGTAAAGATGACAGCCTTGGAAACTGCAGGGGGCAGTTGTACTCTGTCCTGTAGGGTCACTGTGAGTCAGAATCAAATCAGCAACAGTGGGTGTGGTGTGGAGGGGGGAAACCACGGCGCAGGCCTAAATATCAGCTGTCCTGCAGCTGCCCATGAGAGAAGTAGTCCCCCTGGAGGCCCGCATCTGCATGGCCCTGTGAGGTTCGGCGTCGTCCATCAGCAGCACTCTGTTTCTTCCAGGACTCAGTGTTTCCTGCAGCACCCAAGGTCCTTATGGGCTGTGAAGCTGTCCTGTACCATCCTGGTCATGGGGTTGATGGTGCCAGTCTCCTTTGGCATGTTCCCACAGATTGGACAGGTAAGTCCCCCCACCACTCGCCCCTCTCACACTACTCTGTGGACAATAGTGAATCCCACTTTGAGGGGACAGAATTCCCAGGGCCAGAGCAGAGGCAGAAGTGAGGTCCATCTCCCCTCCTGACCCCCCAGCCATCTTGGTGTTTGGGGAACTTTGAGAATGCCCTGTTGGGCCAAGGTGGGCATGGAGGTGGCTGAATGGTAGTCCTGGGCTGGCGGGGGCGCCTCCCTGTCCTGTCTGCAGTGGGCAATACACTTGTAGAGTGCGACTCTGGGAGAAGTCCTGCCAGCCCGCCCAGGGCTCCAGATGCATTGCGGGGTGGGGCCTTCCAGTGTGGACAGGTTTGTGTGTCCCATCCAAAGCTCCCTTCCAGTCGCTGTCCATCCCTGCCAGTGTCAGCTGTGCATTTGCTTGTTAGACTAGAAAGACACCTTTGAGACCACTGGGGAAGTCTAAACATGGCTGAGTATTAGATGCTATTAGGGGATTTTTTTTTTTTTAATTGTGCTATAAGTGAAAGTTTACAATTCAAGTTGGTATCTCATACAAAAATTTTTACATACCTTGTTATGTGACCCTAGTTGCTCTCCCTGTACTGTGACAGCACACTCCTCCTTTCCACTCCGGATTTCCGGTGTCCATTCAACCAGCTCCTGACATCTCTGCCTTCTCATCTCACCTCTAGACAGAAGCTGCCCATTTAGTCTTATGTAGCTACTTGAGCTAAGAAGCACACTCTTCACAAATATCATTTTATGTCCCATAGTCCAGTCTAATCTTCATCTGAAGAGTTGGCCTCAGGGATGGTTTTAGTTTTGAGCTAAAAGAGTCTGGGGGCCATGTCTTCCAGGGTCCCTCCAGTCTCAATCAAACCATTAAGTCTGGTCTTTTTACTAGAATTTGAGTTCTGCACCCCACTTTTCTCCTGCTCCATCAGGGATTCTGTGGTGTTCCCTGTGAGAGTAATCATGGGTGGTAGCCGGGTACAATCTAGTTCTTCTGGTCTCAGGCTGATGAAGTCTCTGGTTTATGTGGCCCTTTCTGTCTCTTGGACTAATACTTTCCTTGTGTCTTTGGTGTTCTTCATTCTTTACTTCAGGTAGGGCGGGACCAATTGATGCATCTTAGATGACCACTCGCTAGCTTTTAAGATAGGGGATTCTTGTTAATGACGGTGGTGGTGATAATGTCATAGTAGTTATTTTATGATTTGTAATTTCACATTGAGGTATTTGTCAGTGAAATGACACATCTGCAGATTATCTTAAAGTACCTTAAAAAAAAAAAACATTGCCATCGAGTTGATTCCAACTCATAGCTACCCTACAGGACAGAGTAGAACTGCCCCACAGGGTTTCCAAGGAGCAGCTGGTGGATTTGAACTGCCAACCTTTTGGTTACAGCCGAGCTCTTAACCACTGCACCACCTAAAGTACATTGAGGGGGAAGAACACACAACTAGGCATGAGAGATGGTTGATGAGATAAGATTGGCAGGTTGCTGATAGTTAAAGCTGGGTGCTGAGTACGTGAGGGTTCATTATATTCTGCCTACATTTGGTTATATTTGAGATTTTCCATAAAAAATATTTTATGGTTATGTTTTTGCTATAAATTGGGCACCACTAAAAAAGATGGATTATAAAATAGTTGCTTTTGAAAATGAGTTTTAATTTGGCTTCTAAGGCAAGTTACTGAAAATCGTAAGAATCGAACTCTTTTTTTCAGATACAGTGCAGTAAACTTGAAGAGGAAATTCGGTCTTCAACAGAAGAGACAGAACTCTTCTATAACAGAGGGGTGTAGGGCGAGTTTTAGGTGAATCTACCTGCTTCCTGCTTGAATGCCTTCCCCTCTTCAGGTTTGTGTTTGGATTACCCCGCCAGGTCTCTGGGACCCTCGGTGTCTGTGTAGAGAGGACGCTCGTGGGTACGCAGGCAGAGGCCACTTCAGAGCTCTTCATGTCTGGGGTTTTGAACCTGGATGGAAGAAGAGAAATGCTGGGGTTGGGGTGGGGGGTCCCAGGTGACACACCCCTACAGGATTTCTGGGGGGATGGGTGATAATCATCTTTCTGTTTGTTTGTCAGCTTGTGGAAGGAAACTGTAAAATTACCAATAAACTTGTGGGCCTTGAAAATACCCTGTTGGGCCAAGGTGGGCACAGAGGTGGCTGAATGTGGTCCTGGGCTGGGTGGGGGTGGGCGCCTCCTGTCCTGTCTGTGGTGGCTGATCCACTTGCAGAACCTGAGGCCAGGAGGTGTCCCGCCAGCCCACCCAAGGCATCTCCCCAGATGTATCACGGGCCACACGGTGCCTTTCAGGTCTGGGCGTGCGTCCCATCCAAAGCTCCCCTCCAATGGCTGCCTGTCCCGGCCAGTGTCTTTGAGGATCCCCCAGGCCCAGGGCATAGGCCTTATATGATGGTACAGCTCAGGACAAAAACGAACCTCCCAGGGGTGATTAAGGCCTCCATCCCCCAAAGCAATCCCGTTACCCTACTCAGCTTACTCCTGTTCTGGACAAGTACTGAACATTTGTCACCTGCCCCCCAGCTCTAAGTCCCTTCTTTCTCCTCACTGGCAAATGACCCCACCTTCCACTCCACAGTGAAAACCATGCCATTGGCCAGGAATGGAACCTGCTGGCACCAAATCCGAAAACCTCCCTCCACCCACAACTGTCCCTTCCTCCTCCTCCCCCCGAGGTAAGCTGTCCCCACGCTTTGGGCCCATCCCTGTTTCCTCGGGGGGCCTTGTTCTGTGGACTCTGTGTCCTCTCTGGCTTCAGTCTCCCTCTCTGCTGGCTCCTTCCCAATAGATTTTAAACTGCTGGAGTCACGTGCCTCATTAAAAAGCCAGCTGAAAAGCCCATCTGTAGCCAAGACTTATCCACCCTCACTGCCCCACCCCACCTTCCACTGTGTTCAGCCATGCTCCTCCCGAAATGCTGTCTCAGAGCTGAGCCCAGCAGACCCACGTCCTCTGCTTGCTGTGCTTTGCCATTTATGACTCACAGACACCTAAAACTCAACCCCCCAAACCTCAGTAAATGGTACCATTTACCCAGTTGTGTAAGCCTGGGTCCTGGGGATCCCCTTTACTCCTCCCTCTCCCCCTACTGCTATTTAATAGACGAGCACCATAGAGACAGATCTCTAGAAATCACCTCCATGGCCACTGCTACCGGCCCAGTTCAGTCCAACAGCACCCCCTGCTGGTACTGCTGCAACAGCACCTGACCTGGCTGGCCGGCCTCCAGGCTAACTCCAACGCGTTCCAGCCCGCTCTTCCAAACCACATCTGCTTAAACATTAAACACTAGATTCGCGGTGTGTCAGGTTCAAGTCCAAATTCCTTACCATGGCAGGCAAGAACTTTATTCATCTCTTGCTACTCTGCTCACTCTGGTCCGACATCTAGTTCCTCAAATGGGCCATGGTCTTTACTCTGGGCCTTCACACAAGCTGTTCCCTCTGCCCTGGGCTTACCCCTGCTTATGCTTCAGGTGGGATTTAGTTGTCTATCACTGCCTCCAGGAAGCCTTCCAGGATTCACAGTTCTGGGTTAGGTGCTCCTCCTATGTGCTTCCCATATCATGTCTAACACTTGCCCCACTACAATGCAATAATGTTTCCTGGCCCTCCTGTGGACACTGTGCTTTGAGAGCACATGCCACATCTCCACCAGGGTGGCCTCAGCATACAACACACTGCATGGCACAAAGTCGGGACCCAGCACTCGTAGGACGGAGACTGTCTCCAGCACACCCTCTCGAGTCACCAGAGTATGTCTGTGGCTTTCAGTTTTCTTTTCCCTGGGCCAGAGTGACGGTTATTTCAAGATTTAGTCAAAGGGGTTTTGAAATGGTCTAAAAGGACAGTATGTGAAAAATTATCTACCAGATGGTTCACCAGACTCACAAGCTGACACTACAGAAAATTAAAGGGCGAGAACAAGAGTGTGCAGAGGCTCCGGGTGGGGGTTTAGCCACGAAAGATGCGGAGCAGGAATGTGAAGGAGAAGAAACCTCGCTGCCATTAGAGTCAGCTCTAGGAAGGGGGGTCGGGGCGGGCCACAGCACGGGGAGAAAGGGCAGGGCCAGGCTGGGGAGGGAAGGAGCCTGGGAGGCTTAGCTTTCAAATGCTCTTTAATAATTCCCCGGTGGGTCTGAAGTTGAGAAGGATTTTTTTGTTTGTTTGGAGTAGCGAGAATTAGAGTAAGAAGGCATAATTCTTCACCTACCTAAACTTTGTTAAGTATCAAAATAGTTCCATTTCTGCTTTATAAATGTGTAATTTTAACATTTGATCATTAGCTAATATAGTAATACCAAAAAAAAAAAAAAAACGGAGAACAAGATGTTAGCATTCATTTTCATTAAGTGCAGATTTAATATTCAATTGTTTGCCTCAGTAAACATCTCATTTCCCATCTCCTCCTGTCCCCACCCAAGGAAGGAGGAGAAAAGGCTATTTTTTATTTTTGCTTAATAAATGTCCAACACTAAGAATAAAGATCTGATACCAACAAGTTTTTTTGCAAACGTTTTTCTGGGTAAGATTTCTAAGGACATCAGTGTTAACTGGAGTGAAAAACAATATTTCATGATTAATACAAATACAAAAAATAACAAGTACATAATTTAGACCTCCATGCTTATTTGATAATTTTAAGGTCTCTCATTATGAAAAAGGTATGTACTGAACACAGGTCCCTTCACACGTAGCCGAATCGTTTTTACTGAAGTTGTTTGAAGTTGTTCGTCTGGGCCCCTGCAAGACGTTCATTCTGAGTCTCTTCCCAACCATATACAGTCACTGTTCCGGTCATACAGTTATATTCAAAACCAGCTTCTTATTTTACTCTGCTGGCGCAGTGGTCAAGAGCTACGGCTGCTAACCAAATATTGGCAGTTCGAATCCACCAGCTGCTCCTTGAAAACCCTATGGGGCAGTTCTACTCTGTCCTATAGGGTCGCTATACGTGAGAATCAACTCGATGGCAATGGGTTAAAATATAAGGACTGGCATCTTTTTCATAATATTGCTAGCAACAGGGCTAACTGAATAGTATTAATGGCTTAAGTTTACCTCTGAGACAGTATAAATATGGATTATTAAAGTTGTCTACGCAAGTATAAAATCTACGCAAAACCCCCATAGGCAAAATGTTCAAAGGCCAAAAAAAAAAAATTTTTTTTTCTTTTACAACAAAGTGCAACTGCAGGGTCTTTTGAATGATCGTTTAGACAGCTGTGCAGAAAAGTTAGTAGTTTGGCTTAAAAAGTAGAGTTCCTCATGAGGAATTGAAGTTCTTCCTAGAAGAATACAAAACAAAATTTCAGGGAGCTTTCTGAAAATAACCCGTTAGTTTGCGGCTAGACAGTGAGACAGACGGGAACTTAGAATGACGAAGGCGGGCGGATCTGCTGGGACTTGCAGGGGAGCTGGGCAGAGCGTTCCTTGTATTCCAGGATGTCGGCCGTTCGGCGTTGTCTACAGTAGAGACAGCACTTTGTCCAGCACTGACGGGAGGCATAAAACTCATCAGACGTGTTTCCATATGTGTTCCAATGTTTTTCACATCAAATTTCAATACTTTCTAATAAATCATTAAAAATATAACATTTTTTGTTATTTTTAGTATTTTACATGTTGAGTGGATAATCATAGTGAAAGGGGAGCTTTAGATCCGCCCACAAAGTCAGATTTTCAGCATGTGTTCAGCTGCCGCTAGATGATAAAGGAAGTTTTCTGTGGCTGGTGGAAACCGTTTCTGCTTTAGTGTTTCCAAGCTGAGTGCTGGCCTTTGTCCACCGTCTGAAACTTCTGCAAATGACGCTAGGTTGGTTAAGAGCTCTCTTGTTTTCAGGGAAATGTCCTTTCATAGAACAGGAAAATATGCAGTGTGTTAGTATCAAAAAATCTAAAGGGAACAAACGAGAACCAAATGAGCCGTGTCCCTCTCCTCCATCACACTTCGATGGCAGAGCCCTGAGGGCTGAGGGTGAAGCCGCCCAGCAGTGCCTTCCAGCCCCCACCACCCATCCAAGAAACACAGTGGAGAATACACTTGACTCCAGCACGCATCTAGGCTGAAGGCTCACTTCACCGCAATTCCCCATTCATGCTACAAAAGGCTGACCAGATGAGAAGGGAGAGTGTTGACATGTTGTGGGGTTGTTAACCACTGTCATAAAACAATATGTGTACTACTGTTTCACGAGAAACTATTTGTTCTGTAAGCCTTCACCTGAAGTACAATTTAAAAAAAAAAAAAAAGGCTGACCAGAATAATGGGAAGAAGAGGGTGCGTGCTGGGGCTTCCATACCTAACACGTACGCCATAAGATCCTTGGGCATACTCTTCAATTTCTCCAAGGCTTAGGTTGTTCCAGCTATAAAATGGAGACAGCATCTCCCAAATCTTTAGCTCACGCCCCATCACCTCTAGCCGTGAAAGCTCCATACTCAAGTCCATCTGCCCGGAGAGCCCACTGATACCCCAAACTTTTATCTTCCCCCAATCCATATCCACTGAGGCTAGTCAAATGAATAGATACAAATAGCAGGAAAACATGGGGGCTGAAGTTCCACTGACTCTGCTTCCTCATCTACTTTCTCTGGTTGAAAGGGCAATAAGATGCAGGTCAAAGGAGGAAGAGGAGAAAAAGACTGAATTGTAGGAAAGGAGTTCATCTGTCGGGTGCCCATGATGTGCTAGCCACTAGGTTTTTCCATCCGTTATCCTTTCTTCTCGCAACAAGGCTCCTCTTTCCAGATGAGAAAACCTAGGTTCAGAAAGGTGACCTGCCCATGACCATACAACTGTCAGATAGCAGGGCTCAAATTCACCTCCGTGTCTGTGTGTCTTCAAAGCCTGTACTCTCCCCACTGCCATCACGTTGCTTGGAGGGAACCCACCTGGGATCAGTCCACAGGGGGCTCCTGTGCCTACCCCAAGAAACTGAAGATGAGCCCCCCTCCAGGGGTGAAACGAGTAAGAATCACCCTTTCCAGGCCTCCCAGTCTAGTGCAGGAATAATAAATACCTGACATCTGGGCTATTATCCACTCCTGTGCTCATGGCAGACATTGCTAATCAATCACATGGTCCACTTTCCCCTTAACCTCAACACAAACTCAAGTCCTTATCACCACAGAACCCCACGCTGCTTCTTCCAGTTAGCTGGACTTTGCACAGGAAGTAAAACCACTTGCCATCCCAATCCGGCGAGGGGAGAGGAGAGGGTGCCGACTGGGCCACACGGAAACCAGGCAGCGTGACAGGCATACCGCAGAGGAGCTAGGTCTGCAGTGTGAAAGCAGAGTTGGCTAAGTTGGCAGGGGTATGATTATGGGATTACCACCGTCCTGGAGCCAGTCCAGTAGAGCTGCACTCAGACCCTCTATCTAGTTCCTCATGCCCAGCAGCAACCTTTGCTTTGCAGTTTGTTCCTCCATGGAAACTGTCCTGAGAGGAAACGCACCAGCTGGCCTCGAAAGCCTTCCAGACCACTTGGCAGTTACACTTCTGCTATCAATGGCTGGCTTCAGCACTGGGCCCTGGATACATCTGGCTGCAGAGCCTGATAACTGACTCAGCCACGGTGGCCCCCGCTCCTGCTTATCATCACCACGGCCATCTTGCAAGCCCTCATCTGAGCCTCTGCCTGCTGCTCTCTCCCACTTCACTTCACTTATTCATGGGGACAGCAGGTACCACGCAGCTCAGCCACACGCTGGCCAGCGACGCCGTTTCAGGATTCTGAGTAAGTCGGCAGACTAAGGAGTTACCTTAATAACCTGGCTCTCTGACTTCTCAGGGTCTTCTGCAGACTGGACAATTAGCTGACCGATTTCTTTGTGCAGTTTCCCCATTGTCATGGTCTCTGGTGAGATGAAGAATATTTGTGTGAATATTCAGAAGTTTTTATGATAAAAAGTAATCATGCCATCTATCTGAAACTCGAGAGAACATACTGACAGAATTGTCAAAAAGCGACGGACACCCCCCCCACATCTTTCCATTTTATCACTAGAAGCAGATACGCCGCCATGCTAGGAGGGAAGGAACAATCCTGATTATTAGGCTTCGTGTTCAAAATAAAAAGCAGTCAGAACCAAACCAAATTCCCCCTCACACCCACCTAACAAGAATTCTTACTTTTCTTTCTAGACAAAACCTAATGAAAACTTCTGACTGTGAATAAGTTGTCATTTTAAGCCAAGAGCCTGACTTTTCTGTCCAGGTCTTGACAGCTGAGAATGTAAGTGTATCTTTCTGGCAGGGACTTTGTGAAAGCGGTGCTTCCTGTCAGCTCTGTGGATACCACACTGAGCAAAGGAAACAACTGTGGTCACGTTAGTCACATACGGTACCTTCTGCAGCAAGGAGCTGAACAGACATTTCTGTCTGTAGCTTCAAGGAGCAAATGCCATTCGAACGGTGCTGACTGGGACAAGGCCGTTACCGGCTCAGAGCAGCAGACGACCGCGGGGAGAGGGGAGCCCTCTGTCCCGAAGTGCCGGCACGTTTAGTGGCCCTCGCTGCAGCTGGCTTTCTGTCACTTTGGCTTGACGAAAGACACTGTCTCCTGAAGGCCTGATTTTATACTTTGATTTTTTCACCACGAATATGCATCGTATTTGTCATTTTAAAACTAATGAAAGGAAAACAAGTTCTGGTTCTAGTATTTTGAAGTTGTTAGATAAAACTTCACTTAATCAGAATCCATCTAACAAAAAGTCTTGATCAGCCAGCCTTTGGCTGCCCCACGTTTAGGACAAAGATATGTGGCAAAGCAAAAGCTGATTATCAGTAATAATTACCATCTAAAACCAACTCCTGACTAGTGCCCGGGGCTCAACACACTTTTAACCTAATCTCTTCTGCTTTATGTAGCCGTCACTGAGGACCAGTTGAATTAATTTCTCCAGAGATGACACTATGCCACTAAAATTCCCTTTCTTGGTCATTAGCCCCCAAAACACTTTCACTCTCTTGGGCTCACTGACCGTCCTTCAGAAAGATTTTCCATACAGGCATCAGGAAACTATAAATATTTAACCCCGTGCTGGGTAAATTTAACCTGTGTTGTGATAAATGTCTACAAACTTTGACACTCCTCCCTTTAAGAGGTGGAGCCTAATTCCTCTCCCCTTAGGTTTGACTGGACATGGTGACTTGCTTCTAACAAAAACAGTATGATAGAAATGACAGTATGTGACTTCCAAGACTAAGTCCCAGAAGGCACCTTTCCTCATCACGCCTCCTCCTCTCTCTGGGGGAAGCCAACTGCCATGTCCGGAGGATACTCAAGCTGCCCTATGGAGAGGCCACACAGTGAGGACCTGAGGCCTCCTGCCAACAACCATGCAAGTGAGCTTGGAAGTGGATTTTCCAGTCGCAGTCACACCATCAGATGACTGCAGCCATGGCCAACACCTTGATGAAAACTTCGTGAGACCCTGAGCCAGAACCACCCAGCTAAGCCACTTCCACATTCCTGACCCACCAAAGCTGTGAGATAATCTTTGTCGTCTGAAACCATGAAGTTTTGAGGTGATTTGTTATGCAGCAAACCCGTTTAAACAGAAAAGTGAAGAAACAAAAAACAGACTATTTACCTTGTTAACATACGGTGCAGCATAAACACCCAGGACATACTGCTAACTTGGCTAGGTCTTTAAGAATAAATACCATGTGTTGGACACCTAGAAAAATCCCTCCAGCTTCAGCAGAGCAGGCTGAGCTGGCCCTCAAATACTAGTTGTAGAGACCAGCCTAGAAAACACAACTTCTTGGCTTATGCCTTGTATCAACATAGCAGAAGAAAAGACAGAACTGACCTTTTGCAAGCGGCGCAATGGTGATCTCACTATCTGCCAGATTCACAAAAACATCATAGAGGTCTGGTCTATTGCTCACCTCCAAGTCTACAAATCCAGCGATGTAACCTGCAGTTCAAAAATGATCAAGATTACTGTGGTGTAGGATGAGCTCATACTGTGAACAAAAAGGAATTGAGTCTAAAAGCTCACAGGTGCTTGTCATCACTGCTTTATTCAGGGAACAAGAGTCATGCCCTGTGCCCCGTGCATTACTGTCAACTGCCTGAAGAAATTCACGCAACTTAAAATGCTCCAAAATTAGATTTCAGTGTCAAGGACCAGGGCTGAAGCAAAGTGTTTACTTTCACTCGTTGCTATTTGGGTCAAGATTGGCAAATGCAGCGGAAGTAGAAAGGCTTCTCTTAACTAATGCTCCCCATCAGGTCTTTGTCTCCAGAAGTCAGAGTCAAGTGCCTGGGTTCCTCAGGGACAGCGTGGTGGAAACGGCATTAATTTTACTAATTTCAGATCTGAGACAAAAAAAATGCTCAAGGAGTCAGGGCAACTCAAGAACTAGCAGACCTCTCAATCAAGTGCTTTTTTTCCTGGAATTGGTGTTAAGACAATGGTTCCCAGACTTCTGAATTTCACAGGGCAATACAGTTTTTTAAAAAAGTTCTTTTTGAGGGCCAATTTATCATTGCTAAATTTTTATGTTGCCAAGTGAGGACATTTAAAAGCAACAACAGCAACAAAAATGGAGCACGGAGAGCCCAGACACAGGCCCACTTACACATGAGAAAGTGTGACCTACGGCAGAGAGGATACTGCTGCTCCCTGGAGAGAGGAGGACACTAGTCAGTAAGGAGCTGATTCATGGGCCGACTGGTTATCCACGTGGGAAATCGGATCCCAACCTCACACACTACAGAAAAATTAATTCCAGCTGGATTAGAGAATTCACTGGGGATGCCCATCAACAGATGAATGGATAAACAAACTATGGTACATACACACAATGGAGTACTATGCAACGAGAAAGAACAACAGTGAATCTGTGAAGCATCTCATAACATGGATGAAACTGGAGGACATTATGCTGAGTGAAATAAGTCAATCACAAAAGGACAAATATTGTATGAGACCTCTACTGTAAAAACCCATGAAAAAGTTCACACACAAAATGGAACAATCTTTGTTGGTTACCAGGGATGGGAGGGGTGGGGGGGAAATACTAAATAGGCAATAGATAAGTGGTATCTTGGGTGAACGGTGAGACAGTACACAATACAGGGGAAACTAGCACAACTTGTACAAGGAAAGGTCATGGAAGCCCCACAGACACATCCAAACTCCCCGAGGGACTGAATTGCTAGGCAGAGGGCTGTGGGGACCATGGTCTCGGGGAACATCTAGCTCAACTGGCATAACACAGTTTATAAAGACAATGTTCTACATTCTACCTTGGTGAGTAGTATCTGGGGTCTTAAAAGCCTGTGAGTGGCCATCTAAGATACTCCACTGGTCTCATCCCTTCGGGAGCAAGGGAGAATGAAGAGAACAGGATATAAGGAAAAGACTAGTCCGAAGGACTAATGGTCCACAGCTACCAAGGCCTCCACCGGACTGAGTTCCAGTACAGCTAGATGGTGCCCGGCTACCACCACTGACTGCTCTGACCAGGATCACAAAAGAGGGTTCTGGACAGAGCTGGAGAAGGATGTAGAACATAATTCTAACTCACAAAAAAAAAGACCAGATTTACTGCCCTAAAGGAGACTGGAGAAACCCTGAGAGTATGGCCCCCAGACACCCTTTTAGCTCAGTGATGAAGTTATCTCCGAGGTTCACCGTTCAGCCTGGGAGTGGACAGCCCCGTAAAACCAGTGACAAGGGCCAGAAGGCAGAAGGGGACAAGGAAGCTGGTGATAGGGAACCCAAGGTTGAGTAAGGATATTGCTGATGTGTTGTGAGATTGTTAACCATTGTCATAGGGCAACATGTTTACTAACTGTTAAATGGGAAACTATTTTGTTCTGTAAGCCTTCATCTTAAGTGAGAATAGCTGCACAACTGGAAGAGCGTAGTCAATGTCACTGAACTGTGCATGTAGAAATTTTTGAAATGGTGTTATCTTTGGCTATGTGTATTTTCACCAAAAAAAAAGGTTGAGAAGTTAGAGGGTTGACATGTTGTGGGGTCGTTAACCAATGTCATAAAACAATATGTGTACTACTGTTTCATGAGAAACTATTTGTTCTGTAAGCCTTCACCTGAAGTACAATTAAAAAAAAATAATTCACTAGGAAAGAAAAAACTTCAAAAACCTTTGCAAGAAAATATACGAGAATATCTTAGAATTTTCTTAAAATACAAAAAACTAAAACCATGAAAGTCTAATAAATTCCAACACATTAAAATGAAGAATTCAAGACAACATAAGGACACTGGAAAAAAAAATAAAGCTTCATACTTGGAGATTTTTAGAGCATATATAATCAACAGTAGATTCACATCGTGACTATATAAAAAAGTTGTAACAATCAGTAAGAAAAAAGAACAAAGTGTAAAAATGAGTAAAACATTCAGTCATTTTGCAGAAGAGGAAACATACATGGCACTAAACATACAGAAATACACTTCACCTCATTAGGAATCAGGAAAAGGCAAATTAGACCACAATTAAGTACGACTGAACACCCACCAGGTTGTCTGATAACTCTCAGTGCTGCTGAGGACAGGAAGCAGTGGGCCTTTCCTATACTGCTAATGGGACAGTAAACTGGTAAAATCTCCAAGGAAAACAAGTTGGCATTACCCAGCAAAGTTGAAGATTTGTATCCTTTCAAAAAAAACCCATTGCTATCGAGTCCATTCTGACTCATAGTGAGCCTACAGGACAGAGTAGAACTGCCCCATAGGGATTCCAAGGCTATAAATCTTTTTGGAAGCAGACTGCCACATCTTTCCTCTGCGGAGCGGCTGGTGAATTCGAACTGCTGACCTTTCAGTTAACAGGCAAGCACTGTAACCACTGTACTGCTTACAACCTGGCAATTCTACCCACTGATGTGTACCGTAGAGAAACTTTCACATATGTGTGCCAAGAGACCCAGAATAAGCACTGCTGTTCTAAAAATGAGTAACTACAAAAACAGAAATGGAGAGATTGTGCTATATCATTTGATGGAATCCTGCATAGCAGGGACCATGAGCAAGACAACAGACACCCACATGAACACGGGTGAATCCCACACAAAAAAATGAAATGTTAAGCAAAAAATGCAGGCCACAGAAGAATTCATCCATCATGAATCCATATAAATAAAGTTAGTTTAGCAAAACTAAACGTGTTGTTTACAAATATGTGTTTGTGTGTGTGTGGCCGGGGGAGGGGAGTAAATCCACAAAGAGATGCAAGGGAAAAGTAAACACTACTTGAGAAGGAGCGGGCCTGGGAGGGGAAGGCACGCGGGGGCTTCAGAGCATGGGCAGTGTCCTCCTTTGTCATCTGTATGGTGAGTCCCTGAGTATTCTTTTATTTTTATAACTTGCATAAACAATGTATTCTTTTGTATGTGAGGACTATCTTATAATTTAAAGAGCAACAAAGCCCCTACCATTTATTATCATCATTGCCTTATGAAGGGACCTTTAAATACCATAAAAATATAAAAGACATAGTAACCTTAAATTTAACAAAAAAACTACGTGACTAGAAAGTTAAGGTACCTATAGAAAAAAGTAAAAATACATTACGTATTTATTCACAGAATCTTAGTAATCGTTACACAAGTCCAATAATGTCATTTAGAAAATTTTATTCCTTTGAGAAATAATATAGAAAGGCTCAAGATGAGATCTAAAGATCCTAGATCAAATCACTGATACGAAAACTTTTAGAATTACAACTTTACAAGTCATAAATAGGTTAAATTTACCAAAGGAATAATTCTTTATCGGTATTCCCCTCCTTAAAGCAGCCTATTTCCTGCCCTGGTCCCTGCAGCTACCTGTGCACATCTGCAGGGCTTCCAGCTCATCACCGCTGAGGTGCACGTAAGAATGAAGAGTGGTCCAGTCCTGACGATGCCACACCAGGGCAGGCAGTGTCCTGGGGAATCAAGGCAAGAACTCAAACGTTGCTGGACCGCACCTTAGAGACTGCACCTGCCCTCCTCCCCTCCTCTTGCAGACAAGGAAATTAAGAGGGTAGAAGCACACAGCTATCAGAGAGACCAACCCCTAACATGCCAATACCACAGGCTTCAAATAAAAGCAATGCAATGGTTTAAACTCCACTTGTTGGGTCTGACTGGCTGCAAAAAGCTCAAGGTGAAGTTTGCAAAGATCTCCACGGTGGCAAGAATGACGCTTCTCAAGCTTTCCTCCAAACATCCCACTCTGCAGACTGCGACAGAGGGGGAGTCTGGCGGGAAAACCCAAAATGGCTTCTGCAAGCAAGAAATTGTTTTGGAAAAAAAAAAGAAAAATTGTTTCAAAGTTTCCCATTTTATATTTAAAATTCCAGTCAAGCTTGCAAACCACTTTGTGTTTGTTTTTATACAAAATAGGTTTGCTTAAAGAAAACTTCTGGTAAAACAGCTAATGCAGAAAGATGTGCTGATTTATCCATGGCTTCGTTAATCCCTGGTGCCCTGCTCAGTAGTTTTGGACACCCCAGGTTAAGAAGCATAAAGAAAAAAGATGGTGGGGTAGAAAAATATGAGGTTTTAGAGCCAGACAGAACAGGGTGAAAATTCTGGCCCTCTCATTTAAGATCTGAGCCAATCGTGACCGTAACCATAAGCATTTCTAAAGCACACAATATGGGCAAGGCATGTGCTAAGCAAGCACTTTACACAAACGATTTCAATGTTATAAGGTATTAGCATCCTCATTTTACAGAGAAACTGAGGCTCAGAAAGGTTAAGTATCTTTTATATGGTCACAGAGCTAATAAGTTGCTCTCCCCAGAATTTAACCCAGATCTTTCTGACTAAAAAGCCTTTGTTCTTTTCATTATCTTATCACTTTGCCTCTCTGAGCCTCAATTTTCTCATCCATAAAACGGAGAGGTTGTGTCCTTTCAGAGCCCTTGTCAAGAGGAAATGTAGTAGTTTAAGGTGACTTACACAATGCCCAGCATACAGTAAACCCAGCACAAATGCTACTTCCCTGCTTTTAAAAAAGGATCTGAGAACTACTTTGATTTGGTAAAGAAACAAAAAACTACAATGAATCTATATTTATCATAAAAATAAGAGTCTTTGGTAAAATTTATAGCGAGAACAACTTACTCTAAAACAGGTGGGCAAACTATGGCCCACAAGCCAGCTCCTTGTTTTTGTAAATAAAGTTTTATTGGAACACAGCCATGCTTATTTGTTTACATAGTACTTAGTGGCTGCTTTTGCACAATGACGGCAAAGTGAGTAGTTGCAACAGAGATCATATGGCCAGCAAGCCTAAAATATTTACTCTCTGCCCCTTTGTAGGAGAGTTTGCTGACTCCCTGTTCTAGAATGTTCACATTTCCAAATTTAAATCAGAATCTGTTCTTTAAAAAAAAAAAAGAATCTAATTCAGTGATTTTGAACTATTAGATCTAAACTAAAACATTAGATGAAAATGGTATTTCCCTTCTAGCCTATAGACATTCAAATTATACCAACTGTGCAAAAGCACAGAGCACATGGTATGTTAGTGGCCCAAATTGGTGGCCAACACAGTTCACCCTTTTTAATGGTTAGAATCCGTACCTGGTAAACTCCTGGACAGCTTCTATTCTTGGATGATAGACGACAATTCTTTTCTTTAGCATCAGTGCTGTGTATAAGATAACAGTTTCCATTCCAAACTGAGATACAATATCTTAAAAAAAAATGACAATGTTACAGCATTAAATATAAGAAAATAAAAGTTTTTATGAGCAAGAATTCTTGTGATAAGAATGCAAAACTTTTTCAATACAGAGAATAAATTTAGCAAGTGTAAGCACAGAAGCACCTTATTTGGTGGATGGGCGTACCCATCCATAAGTCTGATCACTGGATGTGTGACAGCTGCCTACAGCTGCCCCCGAAGGGCTCCATGCTGGATGTGTAGACCAACCCAGATTAAATGAAATAAATGATGTGAAAGGGCACCAGCACCTTCCTGTGTCCTGAAAACTTCCTGACTTAAAAAAAATGCTCGCAAACCCCTTCCTCTTCCATACACAGAGACCCACAGGTCATTACTTAAGTCCTTTTCAGTTAGCTTGATGAACACCCAACACCTCAACCATTCAGAACAGCAGGATCCAGAGCAAAGACAGAGGCACTGTGGGAGGATGTGAACGAAGGCCAGCGTCACCTTCGGAATTTCCTTCTCCTTCCTCTGAGGAGTCTGAAGGCTGTGGCATAGCCCTGTGCTGGCCTCTGCCATTTTGGATTTTCCAGCTACGGCTGGGAGTGGGGTTAGGGACTCGGGGTCAGGGGCTTCAGATCTCCAGATGTGAGAGTTAACTGCTAAGATCTAAGGAAACGAGAACAATGGAGACCTCGAACCATGAATTCAGCTACTGGTGAGGAACATTTCTATCACAGTCAGAATAACATGGGCAGGACCACCAAAGAAACTGGCTTTCCTTTGACAGAATTCTAACCCAAGCAGGAAACTCAGAAGTTGATGAACATAACGTATGGAAAGATGGCACAAGGAAGACTAAATGAGAGACCTTCCTTGGCTTGAGGATGTTGTTGTTGGGATGAGTTTTGTTTTTTTCTTTTCTTTTTTATTGTGGTGAAAATAAATGCAACCAAACATATAACAGTTCAACAATTTCTACTTGTATTAATTCAGTGACAGATTATATTCTTCGAGTTATTGCTTGGCTCTTTTTTTTTTTTTTTTTTACCTTTGATGGAGCCTGCAAGGTATGCCTTTCGGGCATCAAAGTCCTTGCTAAGGAACGAGCCATTCTCTTCACTCTGGCATATCCCCTTTGTCAGAACTGCAATGTAACTCTCCATCATTTTAACTGGGCTCCCATGTTTCAGGTACATTCTGGAAGAAAGGAAAAACACGACCGTGCTTTTATCTGGCATGAACCACATGGAGAAATGCCCCAAGGCTAGGCACTGGAGTCTTCTAAAGAGCCTAAAGCCAACCTGCTAATATACTTGAATGTCTGAACATTTTCATAACATGTATCACCTCTGTAATCTGAAAATGTATTAAAAACAACAACACTTGAGAGATAGTCAGCAATTCTTTTGAAGTCAGCTCTCTCCTTACAGCTGCAGCAGCCTGCTGGAGTCCACTAAGGCAGGAGAATGGACGCTGGACTTTCTGAGGTACCATTATTCCTGAGAATACTGTCTACTTTTCTTGCCTCTTTTTATGTCTTACACTCACAAGTGGTGTTCTTAGTCATAACTGTTTTATTGCTGGAACTTCCTTTGACAAGGAAGGAGTCATATGCATTGTTCACAGGGTAAGCACGAATTAGTTGTAGAACCCATACTTATCAGAGTTTCCAGAGGTAGCTATGTTTAGATAATTAAGAAATCAAAATGCCGTTAAGTTTCTGGTGGTAAATGCACATTAGATACTTTCATCTCCCAGTTAAAACGTCCAGAATATGCTGACAGGAAGCTGGCTGCACTGACAGCTCACACGTGGAGTCAGTCTCGTCCCCTGAAGTCTCTTCCTGTGAGCAACTAAAACGAAATTTTGTTTGAGAAATACTACTGGGTCTACTCAGGCCTTTCAGTAGCTAACAGAATAGAAAAATAGGAAGGAAATAAAACTGATGTTTAAAACAGATCACTTGAAAATTATATTTACTGTAGGTTAAGTGAAAAGGCAAGTGTTTTAACTGCTTGCCAAATTTTGTCAATCATAAAGTGTGTTTTTATTAGTTCAGTCCACAAATTGAGACAAAAAGGTAGAGAATAATGAATATGGTAAGCTCCCATATAGATACAATACAATCAAACCCACGAAATCATATACATGCTTATATGCAAAGAAAACCTCTCCTGATAGGAGATTAACCTGTTCCGGGGTTGGGGCAGTACTGGGGGCCTGGGGAACAGGGGCAGGAGGAGACTTACTTTTTACTCTATACCCTTCTGCATTATTTGTATTTTTTTAAACATGTACTTATATTACTACCAACAACTAAAAATAAAAATGCCATTAAAATTGTAAAGTAGAGGGTCAGCAAAAAAGAGGAAGACCCACAACAAGATGGACTGACACAGTGGCTGCAACAATGGGCTCAAACACAGCAATGACTGTGAGGACGGCGCAGGGCAGGGCAGCGTATCATTTTCGTTCTGTTGTACACAGGGTCGCTATGAGTCGGAACCTACTGAACGGCACCTAACAACAAGAATTACCACCAACAACTAAAAATCAAAATGCCATAAAATTGTAAAATAGAAACACCACACAGCAATGGAGAAGGGAGCCTGGCTGCCACACCTGGCCTGCACAGCTGATTCCAAGTGTGCTGGAAACCCCGGCTCCCTACAGGGCCACCATCTGCGGGGACTAGGAGATGAAGGGGTTATGGCAGTTGACCTAGATCCCACGCAGGGAATGGAGCTTTACCATCTGAGCTTCCACTGCCCTGGTGAGCAGCACTGTGGAAGGCATGCTCGCCTGCTTCTCTCATGAGAAGTGGAAGCAAACACCTCCACGCTGACCTCACCGTGATGAGAAAGTGTTTGTATATTAACCATGTGCACGTGCACACAGACACATGCACGTGTGTGGGGTGTGTGCTCGAGCATGTGGGTGTGTACACAAGCAAGGGCAGTCAAAGCAGGTGGGTGGCAACAGCTGTGAGTCCTTGTTCCTCTTGCACTGTGATAGAAGAGGAGAACGCAGAATGTACAGTGTCAGGACGCTGAGAGGGGAACCCAGAATGTACAGTGTCAGGACACTGAGAGGGGAACCCAGAATGTACAGTGTCAGGACGCTGCGAGGGGAACCCAGAGTGTACAGTGTCAGGACGCTGCGAGGGGAACCCAGAGTGTACAGTGTCAGGACGCTGCGA